AGATCAAATGTCAAAAATTTTTTCGCAACATTTTCAGATGTTTCTGAGGAAGATATAATTAACATAGTATAATATTCACCAACAAAGTCTTCCCAACAAGATGCAATACCGACTCACATACTCAAAAAAGTTTATTAATCTATTTTCGCCATTTTTGACATGCCTTGTCAATATGTGTTTAAATCAAAGTAAATTTCTCTCTGCTTGCAAACATGCTGTAATAACTCCACTAATAAAAAAACACAATCTTGATGAGAATAATGTTGAAAACTATAGACCGATATCCAATCTGTCTTTCATATCTAAAATAATTGAACGTGTGGTTGTTAAACAGATACTCACTCACCTAGAGAATAATCATTTAATGCCGATTTATCAATCAGGTTTCAGGCAATACCATTTAACTGAAACGGCTCTATTAAAGGTTCTGTCTGATGTCTATGGGGCTATCGATCAACAGAAGACGTCTATGATGGTGTTCTTCGATATGTCATCCGCATTCGTTTGTGTAAATCACAAAATACTTTTAGAGAGATTGTGTGTTACTTTTGGATTTTCTGGTGCTGTTTTAAGGTGGTTTGAATCGTATTTGGTTGGTAGAACTCAGCAAGTATCATTTGGTGGTAAAGTGTCCGAGGTCAATATAGTTTTGTCTGGTGTGCCCCAAGGCTCGGTTTTGGGTCCTGTCATGTTTCTTCTGTATACATCTGAGGTATTCAAAGTGGTCAAATCATTTGGTTTCTCATATCATGCATTTGCGGATGACATACAAATCATTGTTACCAGTAAGCCTGGTACTTTCCAGGCCGAATTGGACAGATTGGTTGAATGTTTATCAAAGGTTGATTTGTGGATGCAAAACAATGCTCTTAAACTGAATCAGAGTAAAACAAAATTTTTGCCGGTAGGTACGTGGCAACAGCTTATGAAGCTAGAAACTGATTCAATCATTATCAAAAACAGTGTCATCCTGTTTTGCCAAAAAGCTACTGGTCTGGGATTTATTCTAGATTCCAATCTGTCAATGAAAAATCACATTAGAATGCTTTCCGTTGAATGCATGTACCAAATAAGAAAGCTCAATCTCTTGACACTACTACGTTGCAGACTCTGGTTCATGCCTTCGTGCACTCACGAATTGATTATTGTAATAGCATGTTTTACGAATTACCTGATAAACATTTAGCTGTATTACAGTCATTGCAGAATCGTGCTGCAAAGGTTGATGTCGGCGGTTTCAAATATGATCACGTATCACCAATACTGAAACAACTGCACTGGCTAACCGTAAAAAAAAGAATAATCTTCAAAATATCAACTCTAGTCTACAAGTCAATAAATCGTTTTGCACAACCTTATTTGTCGGAAATGTTTGCAAAGAAGTTTGCACCTCCTTCTGGAACGCATCTGAGGTCTCATGATCTGAACCTGCTGCTAGTCCCAGTTTCGTGTTTTCATATGGGGTCTCGTAACATCGCCGTCTTGGGACAGTCTGTTTGGAACAATTTGCCTGCCTTTCTAAGAGATCCGGAGTTGAACCTGCCTGATTTTAAAAGAAAACTGAAAACTTAATTATTTTCGTTGTAATTCATCGAACTGACTTGTTTTAGTTATAACTGAGTGATTTATATAGTTTATTGTGCAATGTTAGATTAAGGAAATAATGAAGACTGTGTTATTTTTCTTACATTTTTTTTTGTTGAAATGCACTGATAACTCTTTATTTATGTTAATTATGGCATGATATTTTTTTGATAGCGCTTTTGAGATTTTTTAAAATAGCGCTTTATTAAATTTTTCAATAATAATAATAATATAACTATATATAATCAATAGCTCTACATAACTTTATATAAGACTAAATAACCATATATATCACTATATAACTATATATAATCAATAACTCCATATAACTATATATAAATCTACATAACCGTATATAACACTATAACACGTTTATTTTTCAAACATTAAAAAATAATTTTGAAAAAAAGCTTCCAGCATATTAATATATAACTATATATAATTAATAACTCTACATAACTATATATAAGTCTATACAACCGTATATAACACTATATATAACTATATATAATCAATAACTCTACATAACTATATATAAATCTATATAACCGTAGATATCACTATTGAACTAGTTATAATCAATAACATTATATAACTATATATAAATCTATATAACCGTATATAACACTATATGACTAAATATATTCAATAACTCTACATAACTATATAAAAATCTATATCACCGTATATATAAATATATATAATCAATAACACTATATAACTATGTATAAATCTATATAACCGTATATATCACTATAAATCTATATATAATCAATAACTCTACATAACTATATATAAATTTTTATAACCATATATATCACTATATAACTATATATAATCAATAGCTCTACATAACTATATATAAGTCTATATAACCGTATATATCACTATATAACTATATATATTAAATTATACTATATAACTATATAAAAATCTATATAACACTATATGTATACAATAACTCTACATGACTATATTTAAATCTCTATAACCGTATATAACACTATATGACTATATATAATCAATAACTCTACATATATAACCGTATATAACACTACATTACAATTAATAATAAATAACTAAACATAACTATATATTAATCTATATAACCGTATATAACACTACATAACTTTATATAATCAATAACTCTACTAAACTTCATATAATTCTATATAACCGTATATTACACTATATGACTATATATATTCAATAACTCTACATAACATAATATCAATCTATATAACCGTATATAACACTATATGACTATCTGTATTCAATAACCCTACATAACTATATATAAATCTATATAACCGTATATATCACAATATATATATAATCAATAACACTATATAACTATATATAAATCTATACAATCTTATATATCACTGTATATCTATATATAATAAATAATTCTACATAACTATATATAAGTCTATATTACTTTTAATATCACTATATAACTATATATAATTAATAACTCTACACAACTATATATAAATCTATATAACCGTATATAACACTATTCAACTTTATATAATCAATAACTCTACATAACTATATATTTGTCTATATAACCGTATTTAACACTATATAATATAAATCTATATAACCTTCTAACTACCACTAGACTTAACTGGTTTATCTAATCGCCTCAGTGGCTCTAATCTATTATGCGCTAAGCGCATAAGTTTGGAAATGGTCACAAACTATATATAAATATATATAACCGTATATATCACTATATAACTAAGTATCATCAATACTTCTTCATAACTATATATAAATCTAGATATATAATCAATAACACTATATAACTTTATATAAAGCTATATAACCGTATATAACACTATATGACTATATATAATCAATAACTCTACATAACTATATATAAATCTAGATAACCGTATATAACACTATATAACTATATGTAAATCTTTTTAACCGTTTATATCACTATATATCTATATTATCACTAACTCTACATAACTATATATAAATCTATATCACCGTATATAACACTGTATAACTTTATATAATTAATAACTCTACCTAACTATATATAAATCTATATAACCGTATATAACACTATATAACTATATATAATTAATAACTCTACATAACTATTTATATATCTATATAACCTTCTAACTACCGCTAATCTAAACTGGTTTATCTTATCGCCTCAGTGGCTCTAAACTATTAATCACTAAGCGCATAAGTTTGGGGATCGTCACAAACTATATATAAATCTATATAACTGTATATATCACTATATAACTAAATATAATCAATAACTCTACAAAACTACATATAAATTTATATAACTGTATATATCACTATATAACTATATATAATCAATAACTCTACATAACTATATATAAGTCTATATAACCGTATATATCACTATATAACTATATATAATAAATTACACTATATAACTATAATCAATTACTCTACATAACTATATATAAGTCAATATAACCGTATATATCACTGTATAACTATATATAATAAATTACACTATATAACTAAATATAAATTGATGTATGATTGTCTCGTGAGAGACGAAACGTACGTCTGGCCTATGGCGGGTAATGGTTTACCAACAATATATATATATATTTATATGTATATATATATATATATATTTATATATATATTTATTTATTTATATATATTTATATTCATATATATATTGACAATATTCTATAAATTCTACCGAATGTTTGGCTTTAATATGTTTGTAGTTCGTTTGTACATATATATATATCTATATATATATATATATATATATATATATATATATATATCTATGCAGTTGATCATAATATTCTCTTGAGGCTGCAAGATCATTCTTTCAATATTACTGATTTGTGTCTATCTTGGTTTACTTTTTATCTCTGTAATCGTTTTCCTTTTGTTCTTAATAATTCTCCTTCTAAATTTGAATAAATTTTTTTTTAACAAATCTAAACGCTCTAATACTATACCTTCTATTATCTGACCTAATTCTAAAACTCCTGACGTTTCTCACAAGTTTCGTAGTCTAGTCTTTATCTTTGATTCTAGCATGTCTCTTTTTTTATCGGATTAATAGTGTTGCTAGAAGTTCTTTTTTCTAGGTAGAATAAAGACAATTTTACCTTTTCTTTACGATCCTACTCTTCTCCTTTTTGGTACTTCTTTAGTTTTATTTAGGATTGATTATTGTAACTTGTTCTACTATAGTCTTCCTGATTCTATACTCCATCCTTTAAGTAAAGCTTTTAACTCTGCTGCTCGTCTGGTTGCTGGTGTCCCTTTCTTTTCTTATATATCTCTATATCTTATCTCTTGCAGTGGCTACCTATAAAATATAGAATGATTTTTAAAATTTGCACATTTATCTTCAAGTTTCAATCTAAATTCTTCCCTAATTACTTATTAGATATATTAATTGAACCTAAAAGCCCCGGTTTACAATTGTCTTCTTGTTCTCTTTTCTTAAACACTCTTTTGCTAAATCTGCATTTGTTTTTTTGGCCTTTTTCTCTGGAACTCTTTACCTCCTTCTCTGATTCTCTGACTAATTCTCCATCACTTACGAAGTTCAGAGAGGATCTCAAGACCCATCTGTTTGCAAAATTTGCTGAAAACCACTGTTGAACATTGCGAAAATAGCGCTTCACAAACTAATTGATTGATTGATTAATTGATTGATAAATTTATATTATTATTGCAAATACTGTCGGATCGCGAACAAGTTGATGGGTCCACAGCCGCATATAAGTACATTGATCAATCAGGCCAGGTCGTCACCACAACACCTCACTTATCTCAGGTACTGCAGCCACATCCACTGCATCATCACCAGCAGCAGCAACCTCATCAGCTGCAACATCTACACGAAGCAATTTGGTGACCCCTAGGGGATCGAAGAAACATGCAACGAGAGTGCCCACTCCGATGCGAATCTTTCTTCGACACAACAACACTATATAGATCCCAATTATTCGACCTCATCCATCACGTCTGCCGACACACACGCGACGATATGGTGGTGGGAGTAAGTCGGATTGCAAATCCTAACGATTACAACTAACGATCCTCAATAATAAATGAAAACACCACATTTTAACGAAGTCTATATAAAGGAAAAACTGCGATTTTAATTGCGACTCTGATAGGTAATCAGGCTGCTGATGAGTCCCCGGTAGGGACGAAACACGTGTCCAGCCTGTTCAAACAAATACTATTCTTTTCACCCCTACGCACTGTAGTTCTCATACATTAGCGCAACCGCAAAAATACATTCCCAAGATAGCTCAGACGGTAGAAGTTTTACGTCTCACGTTGTGATTGCGCAGAGACCCAGTTCGTTCTAAGCCCATATCATCATAGGCCCCGTGCAGACAAACATGCTTCTACGTCGTGTGGTGTGCAGATGCCACGTGCAACTTTGTGTTCGTCTTCAGGTGTGCAGATGTTAAATGCAAAAAAAACAAAACTTTTTCATTAAAAAACTGTTATGAACCAACGTCATTAATCAAAAATAAACTTAAAAATTGTAATAAATAAAAAATTACAAAAAACTTACCATAATAAAATAATATTAATTTTAATCAACAGTAATCATCGCAAAATGAACAAATGAATCCTGCAAATTTTCGATATTTTAGCGATCACTTATAGACTCTTTTGTTTAGAAAGTTCAAAAGCACAAAACTATTTCATTAAATCAAGTTCTTAATGTTGAGAAAAATAAGGTATGAAGCAAGTACGATGACGTATAGGTATGAAGGTAGACAGCCGATATCTGGAGAACAATCGCTTCCACCGCTCGTGCTATTTTTTTCAACATCTGATGCGCAGTTCAGCCAATCTTTGCCGATGTTTTTTGGGTATCCTGGCAATACACTCAAATTTTTGTCATCCAATTTCCAGAATATTTTTCCTTTAAAGAAGTATAGGTTGCCTAGAAAAACGATACAACGTTTCATAGTTAGATGAGTAACATTTCATGTAAGATTTGATGATAGTTCATTCAGCATGTTAGTTACCAACCGTTTAAATCTGTGTATGCGGCGTCTATCGGGATCTCTAAACCATCCCATACTTTTATGTTTTTCGGGTAACCCTCATCGACACGAAGTTTCGGTTTATCCGAAACGTAAGATTCACACCTCCAATATTAATTACCTAAATTTGTAGAACTTTGTTATAAGCTAGATTGTTTTTGAAGGTGCGAGATTTATTAAAGCAGGAAGCTTTACGTAAATATTCATTCAGTTTACGGATTATCTCAGTGTAGGAAGTGATGTTCATTGGGCGCAGATCAGGTTCGAATTTGCACTGATGGGCAGCTGAATATTTGTACATAAATGTAACTATTTTGTAACTAAAATTGTTATAAACTTATTTTTGGAAACAGTTAATAACACTTCTAAGCTATTTTGCAACTATTTTTGTTTATACTTCATGACAGAGCCTCAAGCAACATCAACGCTGTTACGTAAGAAGCCATTTAAGACATATTTTCACTAGTCGTTACTTACTCTAAAATAATTTTTAGAAATGAATTTAGACACCAAACAAAGTAAAAAATTAAAGCCTTCCTAGCAGTAAAGTTTATGCGAGTCAGTTTTCATCACTAGGACAGTTTAGGGTAGTTAAAGTAGATATCAGACCGAAGCCAGATATCGAGGCTAGATGTCTTTTAAAGAGCTTGCACTACTGAACTGTTGACAAAACTTCTAAATAAACTGCCTATATTACTATTACCGTGTATCTGTCTACAAATTTCCGACTCCGGACTTCGACAGCGGGTTCCGAATTCCAGAAAACTTTTCAACTATTGCATGCTAATTTTACTTTAATATTATTACCAAATGTAGCCACAAAATGTGAGTGTTGCGTTGTGGATGTTGTGGTGTGGATGTTGGGGTGTGGATGTTGTGGCGTGGATGTTGTGGTGTGGATGTTGTGGTGTGAATGTTGCGGTGTGGATGTTGTGGTGTGGATGTTGCGGTGTGGATGTTGTGGCGTGTATGTTGTGGT